CAACATTATCGATAACGTTTGTTGGGTTGTTTGTTTTTTTTTGTTGTTGTTTTTTTGTTGTTGTTTTTTCAAATTATTAAAATCGACGCTCATTGTCAAGCCAATCGAAAGAAAAATATTGAAAAAGCGTGGGGGAAATCCTTCCTTTGGCTGTGCGCAAGTGGCGCGGGGTTTGGGGGGTAAAAATCGATACCAACAGATGTACGTGTGCGTTCGGTGGGTGAGCCATTCCTCCATCTAGATTTCAGTTCACTTCACTTCTGACTTGGCTGGCTTTCTTTTCGCACGGGGTGAGTAGTTGAGAGAGAGAGAGAGAGAGAGAGAGAGAGAGGGGGGGGCAGGACAGAAAGGTATACAAAACATTTCAAAGATAAGTTCGTCAAAACATTAAAATTTATTGTCCTTGCTTTACTAAAAAACAAAACAAAAAACCCCCCAAAAGAAATATATGACCACTTGTCTCTGATGCCCCCCCCCTATCCCCCAATTTCCCTTTTCCCCTCCCCAATCCTGGACTCCCAGTGGGCAAGATACGAGCAGAAATCCGCACCGCCATTGATCGCGTCACTTCCGACACCGCCAACACCTCAGCAGACGAGTTCAACTACATCCGGAAGGAGAAGAGGAAAAAGAGGAGGAAACAGGAGTAAGTCTTCATATTAAATTAAGTAAATAACGGACGAGATGTGGTCGTTTATACTATAGTTCTAGTTTATTTGGATGGACAACATACAAACATGGACTGGCCTGGGTATAGCAGAATCTGCTACGGCAGCTCGCGACTGTGAAGGATGGAGGGTCATTACACGTCAACCTCTGAGTCAGAGATGACCCCTCCAGGTATCCAGGCACAGTTTCGTCAGAAGTGTTTTTTTTGCCAACGTAGACCATAGATTTGAATCTCAATCCTAGATTGTGTACTCTGGTGTAATTCTGTTTAACAATGAATTATATGTGAGGCAGCGTGGTGGAATCAGGCTGTCGTCAATTTTTGGGATTGTAGAGGTATTGGTATCATCTTAAAGCTTATTTATTTGTCTTTATTTGGGTGAAAAAAATATCCATTTATATTGAATACAAGCCGAAATATTTGCGAATGAAGGGGGTGGGGATCATCTGTTTTCCGAGGTAAGATTAGTGAAAAAATGACCGCTAAAGATTAGTTATTTCCTTAGCTTAAGAGTCCGTGGTAACTGAAAATTTACATTTTATGTGCATTTAATCAACGTTTTCCAGAAAAATCCACACAGAAATTAGTTCTTTAATGGGCATAAAAGGTGTTGAGCAGCCGATAAACAAAAATTTGATAAAAATTCACAAACCTGCGGAAAAATGCAAGTTTCTTCACTTTGATTATTTTGACGAGAGCCTGATTCCACCACGCTGCCTCACATATTGTTCGGCTCAATTTCTAGGCAAATAAAGGGG